CCTGGCTGAGGTCCTCAGATCAATTAGCTACTAATAACCCAACAAGCATTGGATGAATTGCCTCCTCTTATTTAAAAGCATTTCCATTGTGAAATTAATGCCCACTCCCTAGGATCTACAGCACTGAGAAACTGTATGTCTAGTCTGGGTGTGGTAAATACTGTATATGGCGTGTGTTTAATGCATCATTTACACATAAACCATACTCTAGAACAACAGTTGTGCCAGACAGCTTAGTGACACCAATTAATCTAGCCAATATGTATCTGGAAGGTGGTAGGAAACTGGAATCTTTCCCGGGCACCATCACTAGCTACGGTGATAGTGTTTGATTTTGGTTGATCTTTTTCTTCATGCCATAACATGTTGCTACACTGTGGGTTTAGTTTGATATGATACATATGATATGAACACTGATATAATGTTTATTGCTTTCAACATGGAACAAAAGCTTCAATGAAACTGGCTATGCTCAGTTATATGAATGTAGCACACTGAAGTGTTACAGGTGCAATTATTTTCAGAAAACAGGAATACTCATAAGCAGTTGATTTTGTTCACAAGAGGAACATTTATGCACTCTCCAAAATAGCTAGGGATTAAGCTTAAATGAAGCTATTTTAATTTTTTAAGCAAAAAACAAGAAAATTGGTGCTATGTTTCATGTTCTGAAAAAAAATCATTTTTTGGCCTTGAAGAATGGCATCAAAAGTTAGTATCTTTAAGTAAATCTGAGCAGTAAAAAAGTACATCTCTGAGTGTTAAATGGCAGAAACACAAGCATGCTTCCAATTAATAAAAACACCAATTATAAAAACTAGGACCTTTTTTTCCCTGAAAGATGTTTTTGCAATCAAAATCATTTCTTTCTTTCAAAACGAGAAACCTTGGATCACTAAGGCCAGTTAATTTGTGTTTGTTCCATAATTTCCTCAGAAAGGTACAGGCCCTTTAGCCTAACACCAGAATATTTTCAAGTCATCAGGATTTCCGTCTCCAGGCCTGTATTTCTACAGGCCTGTATTTTCGCTCACTGCCTTATTTCTTCCCCTTGTCGTCTCTGTCGCCAATCATTACTTGCCCCATGTTGGACCTGAGCTCGGTAAGGACTTGTACCTGCAGATTGGAAGCAGACGCTGGGCTCGCTGGCAGGACAGCTGCAGCCAGGGTGCGAGCCAGGAGTGGATTGGGGGGATTGCAGCTGGCTGGGTGAGTTGCCTTCCAGTAAGCCTCCAAGTAGTCTGCCATGTGCTCACAAGCGTCCTCCAACTGATTCTCGTCCAGAATGACATCAAACATTTCCTGTGGGAAAGGAAGGTGTGCAATAAAATGACAGCTTCTTTGCAAACGCGGGAGGACAGTTATTATTGCAAGCATTGGAGTGGAGTAATTGGAATCACAATCAAATCACAGGTTGATATATTTCCTATATTTCCAATAATTTTTTTTAGTTTTAGGGGACATTTGCTAAAAACCAATAATGAAACTTATTTCATTGCTTAATAATAGGATGGTTCAAATTCACTTCTATAATGTCCTGCTGCCAATATTAATCATGGATCCTCTCAGTGCAGCCTCCTGATCTAGTAAGGAAGCCAAGATGGTCATACAGAGGACGCATCACACCTGGCAGTGAGGCATTACAGATATGGTTTTGGGACCTACAATTATGATACAAAATGTTTGAAACCTCAGTTTTTATTTTAGGCCGTATTTCCTCATTCGGGTGAGTGCAGATCACAGTGAAGAAGAAACCACATTGAACAGCGTTTCTTTAACCTTTGAAAGGTTGTGTAAGGCACAGTGCAGACTGCAAGCATACTGCACCATACTAACAAATCCAACTGATGAATGTACTTCTCTTACCAACACCTATAGATTGGTAACGAATAAATTACATGTTGAAAAATTATGAATGGGCTCCATAAAAGGTGTCGCTTATACATGGGTGATACATTTGCAATTTTTCTATCTGTTCCTACTTAAAGTGAGAGTAAATATCTTAGCTAGGCATGCATGAGTAACATTGCTTATTTCTTTATTTCTTTCAGTATAACTTGGGAAACTATTATCAGACCTCAGTGATTTATTAAACTAACTAAGTCTGTGTAGAACATCATTGTCAGTATACTAAAATCACCCAATGCTGATAAAGCTCCTTCTATAACATGCTTCTGTCTTTTATTGTTAAAATGTTTGCTTTTTATTCATATTCTGTTATTGGCTTGGTACGGTACTGCTGAAAAAAAATGTTACTTTTTTGCATCTGTTACATTATTCTTTTATGTCTCCTTGACAATTAAAATGTTTATTGTCTGTACATTTAGTTCAGTATACAGTACTCCTATTCTACCTTTGGGCTCTTGTTACAAAGTCTCTAGAGTAATCTTTTCCTTTAGATTTTGTCTAAAATTTCTTCATTAAAACTATTTAGGTCATACCATGTTTGAACTAAATCTAGACTAAGATGGGATTTATTTATTTTAGGGATTCATTTGTTGTGAGTCTGTAACATTACATTTTTGAAGTGAAATGATTTTTCTTCTACTGACTCTGAATCCATCTGTTCCATCCATCCATCTAACTCACAATGTGTAAGTTCTGCCTCATTCCAACAGTGTGCTTTTCCAAAATGAAAACCTCTATTTTTACATTTTAGATTAAATGTATATATTCAAAGTAACCATATTACAGTCACAAATTCTCAATTTATCTATCAAAATTATCAATTTTGATATTTTGAAAAAAAGAAAGGTAATTTTAAGAACATCTAGTAGGTTCCTTTACAGTTTGGGTTACTAATGCATTAAATAA